TGATGTGCAGTAGCACGAAAGGCCTCAGGAGGAGCCAGCAGCACGTGTGACTCTCTGTACTGCCGTGACCACGAGGAGGTCCGGCGTTTTTTTTTATGTGCCGGGTCAGTACATATTTATTTATCTCTCTGTCCACTTAATGCTGGCAGTGTGTATATCTACATGTACCCCTGGATGTTCATTTACTTATGACCAATAAATCAGCCTGAACCTACTACACTATTGGCACTCCCTCTCTGTTTTGACGCTCTCTCTGAGGGTTTCAGATCTACAGCAGCTGGTTCCTAGTGCATCCTGTATCCAGAAGAGGGAGCTCATCCACCTTCATACACTGGCTCTGAGTGCTCTCTTGACTTCACTGCATACCACTACACCCAAGGCTGATGATCTACCTAAGAGGGGTGGTCCGTGTGTCTGGCTGAATACCTGGATAGATGGTCCGTATGTCTGGCTGAATACCTGGATAGATAGTCATATATATGCGCATATTTAATGTGCGGACGGTGAGTGCGCAGTTCCAGTCACCTATTTAATATAGAGAGGATTCCCATTTTCAAGTTTTCTGCAGTATTTCTTATATTCATGATGAATTTATGGATTCTATGAACTTTGTGCTCACTTATTCATATATTTTATATATCTATGTTACAGCGCTGCACTATTTTGTTATTTATGTAGCAGAATACATTTTGGCCTAAATTTGATTTTTAAAATTATTTTATTGGACGTTTAATAGCAAAAAGTCCAAAATATTGTTATTTTCTCAAAATTATTGGTCTTTTTTTCTTATAGGGCAAAAAATAAAAACGCACAGGCAATCAAATACCACCAAAAGAAAGCCCTATTTGTGACAAAAATGTCATTTGGGTGCAGCATTGCATGACCGCGCAACTGTCAGTTAAAGTAACACAGCGCCGTATGCAAACAATGGCCTGGTCAGGAAGGGGGGTAAATCCTCTGGAGGGCAAGTGGTTAAAGCTTCTTTGTTGTTTACATTTTATATGCAGTAAAAAAAAAAAACTGCACTAAAGTTTATACAATAGCTCAATTTGTGGGACAAAAAGGATGTAAATTTCATTTGGGTGCAGCGTTGCATGACCGTGCCAGGGGCGGACTGACCATTTGGAAACTCGGTCACTGCTCCAGGGCCCGGGGTCAGTAGGGGGCTCCATGAGATGCCCCTGGTACCTTTTTCATAGACTTATTTGAGTTTGGGCAAGGACACAGGGGCCCCATGATCCCCTATTGCCCGGGGGCCCCATGAGTTGTCAGTCCACCCCTGGACCACACAACTGTCAGTTAAAGTAATGCAGCGCCGTAACGCAAAAAATGGCCTGGTCATGAAGGAGGGCAAGTGGTTAAACTGCAATGTTGTCAACATGCGCAATAGTTGGAAAAGACACCGCTGCAGACATCATGGGGTTGATTTAATGAAACTGGAGAGTGCAAAATCTTGTGTGCAGCTGTGCATGGTAGACAATCAACTTCTAAATTCAGCCAATAAGCTTTGACAAAAAAAAAAAAATCTGGAAACTGATTGGTTACTATGTACAGCTGCACCAGATTTTGCACTCTCCAGTTTTAGTAAATCAACCTTCTTGTGGATTTTGCCCCCTGCCACTGGATGCAACTGCTGTTCATACTCACTATAAAACTCATACACAAATGGCTGCACCCTGTCAATCCCAATGTAATTGTAAATACATTATTGTTCTCCATTAAGGACAATCCAAACTGGCCTGAACCCTCCCCTTTCTAATGTGCTTCACCAATTTATGGGCTTAATCATAGACATCTTATTATTGGGAATAATACAGTTTTTACAATTATGCTGGGATTGCTGGAGTTTATATTTTTTTGTTTTGTTTTGACTTTGGTATAATGTTACCAGTTAAGAAAATAATTTTGTACGAACCTTTACTTGGTTATTATACCCGCTAGACAATGTTACATAGTCTGGATACCTTGTTATTTGAATACCAGGTTAACTTCAATTCCCCCCCCCCCCCTTCTGTTCCTCTTGTGTTTACATTAGCAGATTGGACTAAGAATCCATTCACACTTGTGCAACTTGTCATGTGACCTTGGACACATGGGGGTTGATTTACTAAAACTGGAGAATGCAGAATCTGGTGCAGCTGTGCATGGTAGCCAGTCAGCTCCTAACTTCAGCTTTCAATGGAAGCCATTCAAATCTTTGTGACTTTTAATAGGTTCTTGCAGTACTTCAATGCAACTTTAATGTGACTTGAGTGCCATAGACGGCAATGTAAACATTCAAAAGTCGCATCCTAATGTTAGCAATGCAACAGATGTGCAACAGTCAAAGCCAAAGTCAGCAGCCAAAGTCACGTTCAAGTTGCACCCGTCCAAAGTTGCATCAGAGTTGCAAAGAAAATTGCATGACTTTGGAGTTACACAAGTGTGCCTTGATGTAACTGCCCATCATGGTAATAAGTTTAACAGCATATTTCAGCATTGTGCTATTTTTGGTTCAAATAAATGGCTTTTAGTGCAATTTTAAATTTGAGCAAATCAGAAGACAGCTTGTTAGTAGGCTTGAGAAAGGAGGCGGAGCTTCTGAAACGCGTTGCAGCCCATCTGTCTATCCATTCACAGCACTTGACACTTCTCCCTACCACCAGTGGGAAGGCACACAGAGCCGCCAATTTATCCACCGCAGCTGGTCATGCTCTCCTTGGGTCATGCACAGATCATCGAATCCGCTCTTCTGATACCCCTGGCTCCAGTGTTCTTACCTACCACACACACCGAGGGAGTTTTAGATGTAAGTGTCTTATAAATGAGGTTTCCCTGTTTTTATCCATGCTGACCTGGCGCCCTGCTTGTTGTTCCTTTGCAAACTTGTAAGTAGCGGTCTAGCAAAATTGTTCCAGTTCAGTCTGAAAAAAAGTAGTCGCATGACTGTTATGAGTAAATGTAACAAAAAAAAAGTACCAAACAAAAAAATAGACATCAACTTTTCAGTGCCAACCCTCCTTAGTAAGGTTAGGTTCACACTAGCCCGCAGCAGGGGCGTATTGACCATTTGGGAACTCGGGTACTGCCCAAGGGCCCAGGGTCAGTAGGGGGCCCCATGAGATGCCCCTGGTATCTTTCATTGGCTTTTTTGGGTGTGGTTTGAGTGTGGGCGAGGACATAGGGGTCCCATGATCTTCTATTGCCCAGGGGCCCCATGAGTTGTCAGTCCACCCCTGGCCCGCACTATGCATTCTGGTTACAGGTGCAGGAATCGCATCCGTTCCGGCACCCACAACCACCTGCAGCCAGATCGTACTGCTGCTACGAGACATGCGGGGCTCCTATTCATTCTGTATGGCATTCCCACACATCTCAGCCCGCAGCACTAATGCCAGTGCAGGAATGGCAGGGAAACTTTCACGTTGTGTTTTATTGTGTTTTCACAATTTTCACATATGTATATATGATTTAATCACTGATATATTGAGGATAATACACTATTCAGTTTTATTTTCATTTTTTTGGAGGTACACGGTATTTTTGGAGGTACACAGCGATTATGGATCAGATTTTGGGACTATTATATTGAAGAATATATTTGGAAAAATTCACTGACACTAAAGAGGATTTATGATTTATATTTAGGGAAACTGTATGGTCAAAAAGACCATGCGGTTTCCCTGTGGCAACGTTTTCAAAAAGGTGCATGCACCTTTTTTTGTGGAAAATGCAGGCACAGCAGCCCATTGAAAGGAATGGGCTGCCGTGCCCGAGCAAACGTGGGCTGCACAGCCCACAGTAGTGTGAACTAAGCGTAAAAGGTTGGTAAAAAGGAAAAAGAGCAAACAATCCTCAGGATCGCTTTTAAAAAATTCATATAAGTTTTAAAATAAACTTGCAGAACATGTTAGTTTGCCATTATTGTACTAGCAAGAATTACGATCTCTTGTCGAAAGTAGATTGTTTTCAATAACCTTTTACAATGTTCCATGAAAAGTAATGTAGATAGCAACAAGATATTAGCTGGAATCTGTAGAAAATGCATCATGCCATTTAAACAAGGATAAATGCGTTGTTCAGTGCAGTTGATATATGTACTTGTCTTTTATTGCCTTGAAATGCTGTAATCATGCTGCCCCAGACAGCAATAGAGCAGTTTATTAGCGTTTTGTGGTGGATTGCAGTTACATATTACAGACATTTTTATTCACTCAACAAAAAATAATAATATAGAAAATATAATTAAAGTATTAAGGATCCTAGAAACTATATGTATATAAAATGTATTTATATTTTTCTGTGTTCAATTGTGGTAAATGGACACAGAAAAGAAATGAAACAAAAGGTATTGTTAAACTTGTGCTCTTTCTGTACATATGGATAGAAATAGGATTTGTACATTTCTGGTAACTATTTCATGTTGTGTTATCTTCATGCTATGTTAGCAAAAATGTTTTTAAGTGTTTAAGCAGGTTCCTTCTATTGTATAAACTTTAGTGCAGTTTTTTTTTTTTTACTGCATATAAAATGTACACAACAAAGAAGCTTTAACCACTTGCCCTCCAGAGGATTTACCTCCCTTCCTGGCCAGGCCATTGTTTGCTATACAGCGCTGTGTTACTTTAACTGACAGTTGCGCGGTCATGCAATGCTGCTCCCAAATGAAATTTATGTCACAAATAGGGCTTTCTTTTGGTGGTATTTGATCATCTGTGCGTTTTTTTATTTTTTGCTCTATAAGAAAAAAAAACAGACTGACAATTTTGAGGAAAAAAACACTCTTTTTGATTTTTTGCTATTAAACATGTCCAGTAAAAAAAGTTTAAAAATCAAATTTCGTCATAAATTTAGGCCAAAATGTATTCTGCTACATGTCTTTGCTAAAAAAACAAATTCCAATACATGTAAATGAATTGGTTTACGTGAAAGTTATAGCGTTTAGAAATGGTGTTATATATACTGGATGTTTTTTTTTTTATACTACTAATGGTGGCAATCATCGACTTATAGCAGGACTGTGGGACTGCAACGGGCATTCTGACATTGATGGGGAACTGACTAACTATCACTGACATCCCCAGTGACAGCAATACAGTGATCAGTGCTAATAAAAAGCGCTGACACTGCACTAATGGCACTGGGAAGGAAAGGGTTAACATCTGGGGCAATCAAAGGATTGACTGTGTGCTGTTTCACTGTGTGCTGTGTGAGTGCTTTACACTGTAAGCACACTGGTTTGTATGGCTGTGCTATGCAGAGCCATACAAAACAGTGTGCATGAGCTGACAGGGGAGAGTTCTGTATTGTTTACATACAGGTTTCTTTTCTGTCCATGATACACTGTGATTGTCAGGTGCCAGCAGGTAATCACCCAGTGACCCGGTGACTGACAGCTGAGGCCGCCAATGGCGGCGCAGATAGGGCGGGCGTGTGCGGCTCACACGTGCCCCTTACCTGGAAATGCAAAATCATGTATATATACAGTGGGGATCGAAAGTTTGGGCACCCCAGCTAAAAATTTGTATTAATGTGCATAAAGAAGCCAAGGAAAGTAGGAAAAATCTCCAAAAGGCATCAAATTACAGATTAGACATTCTTATAATATGTCAAGAAAAGTTAGATTTTATTTCCATCATTTACACTTTCAAAATAACAGAAAACAAAAAAATGGCGTCTGCAAAAGTTTGTGCACCCTGCAGAATTTATAGCATGCACTGCCCCCTTTGCCAAGCTGAGACCTGCCAGTGTCATGGATTGTTCTCAATCATCGTCTGGGAAGACCAGGTGATGTCAATCTCAAAGGTTTTAAATGCCCAGACTCATCTGACCTTGCCCCAACAATCAGCACCATGGGTTCTTCTAAGCAGTTGTCTAGAAAACTGAAACTGAAAATAGTTGATGCTCACAAAGCTGGAGAAGGCTATAAGAAGATAGCAAATCGTTTTCAGATGTCAATATCCTCTGTTCGGAATGTAATTAAGAAATGGCAGTCATCAGGAACAGTGGAAGTTAAAGCAAGATCTGGAAGACCAAGAAAAATATCAGACAGAACAGCTTGCAGGATTGTGAAAAAAACAATTCAAAACCCACGTTTGACTGCATGATCCCTGCAGAAAGATCTGGCAGACAATGGAGTTGTGGTACACTATTCCACTATAAAGAGATACTTGTACAAATATGGTCTTTATGGAAGAGTCATCAGAAGAAAACCTCTTCTACGTCCTCACCACAAAAATCATCGTTTGAACTTTGCAAATGAACAAGCCTGATGCATTTTGTAAACAAGTTCTGTGGACCGATGAGGTTAAAATTGAACTTATTGGCCGGAATGAGCAAAGGTACATTTGGAGAAGAAGGAGCACAGAATTTAATGAAAAGAACCTCTGTCCAACTGTTAAGCATGGGGTTGGATCAATCATGCTTTGGGGTTGTGTTGCAGCCAGTGGCAAAGGGAACATCTCACGAGTAGAAGGAAAAATGGATTCAATAAAATTTCAGCAAATTTTGGATGGTAACTTGATGCCATCTGTGAAAAAGCTGAAGTTAAAGAAACGATGGCTTCTACAAATGGATAATGATCCCAAACACACCTCGAAATCCACGGGGGATTACATCAAGAGGCGTAAACTGAAGGTTTGCCATGGCCTTCACAATCTCCTGACCTCAACATAATTGAAAATCTATGGATAGACCTTAAAAGAGCAGTGCGTGACAGACAGCCCAGAAATCTCAAAGAACTGGAAGACTTTTGTAAGGAAGAATGGGCAAAGATACCTCAAACAAGAATTGAAAGACTCTTGGCTGGCTACAAAAAGCGTTTACAAGCTGTGATACTTGCCAAAGGGGGCAGTACAAGATATTAACTCTGCAGGGTGCCCAAACTTTTGCAGACGCCATTTTTTTGTTTTCTGTTATTTTGAAAGTGTAAATGATGGAAATAAAATCTAACTTTTTTTGACATATTATAAGAATGTCTAATCTGTAATTTGATGCCTTTTGGAGATTTTTCCATCTTTCCTTGGCTTCTTTATGCACATTAATACAAATTTTTAGCTGGGGTGCCCAAACTTTCGATCCCCACTGTACATGATTTTGTGCACCCCTGCTGCCCTGTAGCAGTATTTTGGCTATAGAGCGGTGAGAAAGTGGTTAAAGCAAAATTTCAGCCAGATAGAAAAGACAAGAAAATAGGGCTGCTCTGTATTCACTATTGCATCATTGGGGTTGATTTACTAAAGGTAAATATACTGTGCATGTTGCGTTTGATGCATTCTCCAGTGCTTTTGCAATTTGTTTTGTGTTTTTCTACATTATTGCCGCGTTTGCTACGTGTTTTTACTGTGTTTTATGTTTTGTTCAGCTCTTTTTTTTTTTCTGTTAAAGTGGAAATGTTTTGGTTTCTGGGCAGAATAAGAATGCAAAACACAGCAAAAACACAGCAAAAACGCATTACCATGCATTTCAGCAGCTTTTTATAAAAGTCCCTGACCCTTTCCAAAAATGCAGCAGCTCAAAAAAGCACAGATGTTAAATGGGCTGTAGTGTGTTTCTGCAAAAAGCAGAAGGCACTCAAAAACGCATTGGCTTGAATGGAGTCTAATAACCGAAGGGAAGCTCTAAAATGAGGTGAAGCTCTGCTGATTTCTTTCATACAATCATGTGCAAGCAAAATGCTGTTTTTTCCTTGCATGTTCCCCTCAAATCTAGAGCAACTGCACTTTCAGTGCACTTACAGTGCACTTTCTAAGTGCATTGCAAATGCACAGCCTATTTACCTTTAGCAAATCAACCCCATTGTCTTTTTTTTGCAGACAGTGTAAGTACCTGAATTTGGCTTAGTGTCACCCTTTTACAGTCTCTTTACAGCAGAGCTCAGACTAGGAGAGGGAGAAGCAACATCAGAAGCCAATCAGTTATTTTGTGACAACAAGGAACTTATTAATAGGAGAGGAGAGCAGAGTAACAGAGAGATAAGCTCATCAGTCCATTGCTTCTCCTTTGACTGTCCAGTCATAGGCTGGTGGGGTGCACAACCTGTGAGTGTTACTTAAAGTGGTATTGCTAAGATGTGGTGGCTGCATTAGGTTTCTTTTTTTTAGGCTTTCTACCTTTATTTTCATCCAGTGATCCTACCAGTAAGTCTGTTATTTTTAAACTGTTTTGTCCGGACAGCTTGGTTTGTTAAAGACCAAGCTGTCCAGACAAAACAGTAGTTGGAGGGTTGAGAAAAACCATTTACCTCTGACAGGGGTGCTTACAATGGTCAGCTTTTATTTTTATTTAAAAAGTTTATTCTGAAAGGAGAAAAAAAACAAAATGGATTCTGTAACTGCTTATAAAGTGTCAGATGGAGTTCAGCTTCAATTTGTTTGTCAAGTCCATTTAAAACCGCTAGTTTAACATTACTCTCTCCCTAAGCTGACACTGCTGCCCAAGGGGGACTGCTTTACTACTGCCAAAATACAAACACTATTAGACAGGATGTGTGTTACTGGCAGCATTACTAGATTAAATAAATGCAAAAAGCCTAAAAAGTAAGCTGCAATATATTACATTTTTTGTTTTGGGGTTTAATATCACTTTAACTGCAACAGAGAAATATCAGGTATTCTATCCTGCCAGACAGGGTTGTGCTGTTTCAGCAACAGTTTTACTCTTTGAAATAAAGGTTTTACATACATTAATAAAAACTGACCATTGTAAGCACCCTTGCCAGTGGTAAATGGTTTGTCTCAATTCTCTATCTGCTACTTTGTCTGGAGCTGCAAACATGATCTTGGTACTGTTTTTAGAGCAATTGATTAGCTTTACTGTAAAATGGATTTGGGCAGCTTTACAGCTGCCTGATCATGTTTACAGTGCTTGGAAGCCCCCTTTTCCCCTGCTAGCTGTCATTCCCAGGCTCTAGCTTTCCACTGGAGAGCGCGGGACTGCTTTAAGTGGTCAGGACAGCTGCCCACAGAGAAGATGAAGGAACATCCAGTCCCTAATCTTCTCTGTGATCAATGAAGCTGGAAGCTGTGAGGGTTTTATCACTTCTGGACTCAGAGCCAGGAAAGCCATCTGATACAGCCAGGGAAGCAGGTGATTCAACACAATCTGTGTTTGATCAGCTTCCTTGAAGAGCAGGGGAGACATCAAGGGTCTAATAGTAAAAAGAGTACTTCCATAAAGTGTACCTACCCAAAGCTATCACAAGGGAGCTTGTTCATCCCTTTGCAATAGCAATAAAGTTAAGTGAAAAACATTTAAAAATATGAAAAAATTAAACACACAAATGAAGAGGTGAATACAGTAGGTTCATCATGCGTATGTAAAAAGTGATTACACCCAGTGGTGTATTTTGGTTTATGCTGCCCTAGGCAAGACTAAATTCGTGTGCCCCCCCCATCCAAATTTGTCCCACCCTATCCGTGGTATACCGTTCTTGTCTCAGGGTCTGGTGAGGAAGCTGCAGCCATTCAAAGTGAACAGCTGTGGATTCCTAATCAGGCCCTGAGACATGATTCGTCCAGGTGCCACATATGTGGTCAAGTAGGGCAGAGGATGGGGTCAGCGGGACATAGGATGGGGTCAGCGGGACATAGGATGGGGTCAGCAGGACATAGGATGAGTCAGCAGGGCTGTGGATGGGGTCAGCAGGGCTGTGGATGGGGTCTGCAGGGCACAGGATGGGGTCAGCAGGCCTCTCTCTCTCCCTCCTGTACACTATACACACTCCTCTCTCTCTCTCTGTATCTCTCTCTCCTTTCTGTACACTATACACACTCCTCTCCCTCTCTCTCTCTCTCTCTCTCTCTCTCCCTCTCTCTCTCTGTATCTCTCTCTCTCCTTTCTGTACACTATACACACTTCTCTCTCCCTCTCTCTCTCCTGTACACTATACACCTGCTTCCCCTCTCTCTCTCCCTGCTGTACACACTCCTCTCTCTCTCCCTGCTGTACACTATACACACTCTCTTTCCCTCTCTCTTTTGTACATTATATACACACTTCTCTCTATACATCTCTGCACAGTTATCACTTCTCTAGTGCCTCCCCTCCACCTCCTGTCCCTGCCTAAACCTCAAAGTCACAGCTCCCTTCACCACCACCACGCCCTTTCCAGAAACCCTCAGTCCACTCCCCTCTTGCTCATTAGACTGTGCCCCCACTCCCCTCCTTCACCCCATCTCTGATTGGCCCATACCGCCACCTATCAGCCATCCTTGCCAACTCACCTGGTCCCTCCCTGGCTGTAGTTGTGGAGGAGGAGGTGAGAAAACAAAAACAATCGTTTGGAGCCTCCATCTTGGCTTGGGGGGCTTGTTGGCAGCTGAGTGGGGCAGAGAGGAGATTAGAGGAGAGGGCAGATGCTGCTACACAAAGTGGCACCCTGAGCGGCTTGACTGGAGACACTGTGCTGCCTCCTCCATTGCCCTGCCCAAGGTATGTGTCTTTTTTTTGGGGGCCTCCCGCCCGCTGCTTCTCCT